TAAAATTAATAAAATTACATTAATACTAGACCCGATATCTTTATTATATAAAATTCCATTAATACTAGACCTGATATTTTTGTTATATAAAAATTATATTAATATTAGATCCGATATCTTTAAAAATATTACCTTTGACTTTGGTCACAATTTACGAGACAGAAAGTGATTTTCTACTAAGGTGTTTCTATGACAGATTGAAAGCCCTGGTTCTTGACTATAAGATAATATGTAAATTATTCCTGTAGCATCGATATCCGCGAAGATATTCGTGTTTAAATTTTGAACTTCTGTGAAAAATTCGACATAAATTTTCCATAAATTTTCGTAATTCTGCCAGAAATTTATCGTGATGTAATAAAAATTTCTGGCAGAATTACGAAAATTTACGCTGAATTTTTCACGGACATTCAAAATTTAAATGTGAATATCTTCGCGGATATCGATGCTATAGGAATAATTTACATATCATCTTGTAGCCAAGAACTAGGACTTTTGATCTGTCATAGAAATACCTTAGTAAAAAATCACTTCCTGTCTCATAAATTGTGACCAAAGTCAAAAAAATTGAATTTTTGAGCATAAATTTCCGTGGGTCCCGTTTGTGTTACGGAAATTTATGCCCTAAAAAATTTCCTGATGAATATTGTAGAACAGATCATTCTAGAATATAACTTTCATAAAACATTATAGAATGGCATATATAGAATGCTATATGAACGTTCCGTTCGTAAAATATTATAGAACATTATATAAAAATTTCTGATAAAGAGACATAAGTTTTATTTATTTTTTTTAAAAAAAAACTAAAAAAAAGAAAAAAAAACTCACCTTTTATCATACATTTGCAAAGTTGATTTTGATAATTTTGACTTCTACAAGTATTCTCACGAACCAGCGAAAGGTGAGGAGAGGAAAAGTAAAGGGAGAAGAGGAAAGGTAAAGGTAAGAGATATAAATTTTATTTATTTTTTTAAAAAAAAAAAACTCATCTTTAACCATACATTTGTGAAACTAATTTTGATAATTTCAACTTTCACAAGTGTTCTCACGAACCAGCGAAAGGTGAGGAGAAGAAAGCAAGAGACAAGGTAAGTATAAGTTTTATTTATTTTTTAAAAAAAAATAAAAAAAAAACAAAAAACTTATCTTTAACCATACATCCGCAAGGTCAATTTTGACAATTTCAACTTTACAAGTATTTTTACGAACTAGCGAAAGGTAAGAAGAGGAATGGTAAAGGGAAGAGAGGAAAGGTAAAGGCAAGAGACAAGGTAAGTATAAGTTTTATTTATTTTTTTTTAAAAAAAAAAAGAAAGAGAAAGATAAAAATAAAATTTTTAAAAAAACTGATTATCAAGTTACGCAAGAATTACAGATTTTTATCGTAATTCTATTTATTGAATTTATGATTTTTTAAAATATCAGGCACCAGACAGAAAAATATTATTTATCATCCACAATATAAAACTATAACTATCTACAAGATATCCATAAATATTTGGCATCTGATATATATCTGATATTTTTGATTTTAACTTGTGTGCCTAATATATATTTGACAAATCGTGTACACAATATACATTACAAAAATCAGGTACCAGAATAAATATCAGTTATATTTAATATACTTATCGGGGCATAAAAATTTTTTAAAAAAATTAAAAAATATATTGGGTACCTGATTTTTATCAAGGGATCAATAGATCTCTGACATATTTATATTACACCTATTGGAAACATATCAGTTATCTATCAGTTACCTATCAGTTATCCCAATAACTACCTGATTGGTTCCTGATATATGCCTAAAATACAGATTTCAACCTGTATTTATAACTGTATTAATAATAATAATAAGATTAAAGTTTGTATAGCTATCATATAAACAAATTTTAAATGTATAATTATTTATTTATTTAAAAATTTGAGTAAATCAACTTTTATTAATTTTATATTATTCTTTTTGTAATATTACAAAAAATTCAATTTTGTTTTTTATATTTTTTAATTCTTTTTTCAAATCCATTCCATAAATTTTCAATTGGATTAAAGTAAGGATTTTGAGCTAGCCAAGAAAGTCTTTCAATTAAATTATTTTTTTTTCATTGATTTGTTTTATTTGAAACATGACATGATATATTTTATCTTGAAAAATAAGTTTTATCTATATTTAAATTATTTAATTATAGAAGCAAATATTCTTCAAACAATTCTATATATCTGTTAGAATTAAGATTACCTTCAACTAAAACTAGTGGACCAATTTATTATTTCCACACTACTGAATTTTTTAACTGTGGATTTTCAAACAATCACTTTTATATTGTTTATCTTTTTTGTACCAGAATCATTATTAAACAGTTCATACCTTGATTCATCACTTTATATAATATTTTTCCATTCAATATTCCATTTTTTTTTTCATACTAGAAAAATTTTCTGATGTATGATTCAAAAGAAAGTCAAGCAGAAAACTAGAGAAAATCCTTTTACATTGTGGGATCAATGAATATATAGCCATTGGAAACTTTGAAATAATCTTTAAGCATATCAACAATGACTTTACACATTGATTTGGCCATATCAACTATGTATGCCTTTTTATTTTCTCAATGAAATTTGTATCCTGTCAATTTGTTGTGGTCAAGAAAAGTATTATACTCTTTCATTGAAACTTTCTTCCCAATCTGAAATGGCAAATTACAAGTTAACATTGAGCAGATCTTAAAGAAACACACTTACTTTTCTTCTACTAAGGCAGTTCTGAATAGGTATGGACTATGTTATCAACTTACTTTTCGAATTTTTTTTTTTTTAATTTCCTTACTACCGATTTCCAATCAGAGCTGAAGAATTTCACACGATTGAGTAGAAGATGAATGGATAGATGGGGATGATGATTCCTCACTTTGTTGATCAAATCCTCTCCTACTCATGCTCCGGATAAGGGAGTATTGTTGATTGATTTCCACTCTGGAGCGATGTGATATAGTCACAATTCTTTATAATCATATTTTAAAAATAAGTCAAAAGCTAAAAAAAATTTTCGCGGATGATTTTCCTATGTCACATGTTATTTTGATTTCAGAAAAATTTGATTGGTCTAATTGGTATAACCATAAAATATAAAACCATTTACATTGTTATTAAAATTGTTAATAGATTCTGAAAAAATGTCGTGGAATCCTCCAGGAGCACCGCCTCCATATGGGCAACCAAGGCCTGGCTTTCCTGCTGTCAGTAGAATTGTTAATCTGTTAAAGTGTAAAACAGATTTAGTTTTTCGAATTCCATGAGAGATTCAATGTTTATTTATTTATTTATAATATAGGGTATGCAACAAAGACCCAGTTTTCAAGCTTCTATTTTTGGACCTAGACCGAATCAGCCTTTTCCCCCAGGACAAGTTTCGCCATATTCTTCACCAGTATGATTTTACATATGTTTTATTTTAAAATGATTTTTTCAAAAAATTTTTTCCAAGGATTAAAAATCTTTTGATTTAGATGCGCGTTTGGACTGAGCATACTTCCCCTGATGGTCGTACATATTATTACAATATTGTGACAAAACAGAGTACTTGGGATAAACCTGATGAAATAAAGACTCCTGAAGAGGTAAATATTTACTTATTTAATTTATTTCTTTATTAAACAATTAAAAGAATCAAACGAATTATATTTGAATAAATTCATTTAATAATAATTTAAATAGCGTGCATTGGGATCTTGTGCGTGGAAAGAATTCACTGCTGAAGGGGGTCGTAAATATTATTATAATTCTGATACTCACGTATCAAATTGGGAAATGCCTGCGGAATATAAAGGTATAATTATAAATTTTTTTTTTTTGATTTCTTAATTTTTAAATTTTACTAACTTCAATTCATTTTTTTTACTTAGAGTTTCTCGAAAAACGGGAGAGAGACAAAAATCAATCTCAGTAAGTCTTTGTTACACATATTATATATATAAACATATTTTTTGATTATTCCTTTTTTTTTCATGAATCCGTGTAGGCATAATGAATCGAATTCTCAGACAAATGGTAATACCGTTTCTCCAAGCCAACAAGATTTCGAAAGAGCTCGTCAATTAAGCATACCAGCAGTTAGTCCCGTAAATGTAACCCCAGTAAATGTTAGACCGACCACACCTACGGTTGGATCTCATGTACCAATTCTACCAATTCAACAACCTGAACCTCAAAAAGTTGAATTTGAACGTAAAGAAGATGCCGAAGCAGCCTTTAAGAAATTACTTAAAGATTCGGTATGTTTAAAAAAAAAAAAATTTAAATCATCATATATGTTATCATATCTCTAAACTTGATAAACGAAATTTTTATTTTATTACAGGGTGTCAAGCCTGATTGGTCTTGGGAGCAAACCATGAGAGCAATTATCGCTAACCCCATGTATCGGGCTCTTAAAACTTTGGCTGAACGAAAACAAGCATTTCATGATTATGTAGATGAATTACGCAAAAAAGAAGAGGTTAGCTATAACAAATGGATAAAGATAAATGCTATTCAAAAACTATAATCTTTAATTTCGCGTAAATACATTTATTATTCTATTAGGAAGAAAAGAGAGCAAAAGCTATAAAGATTCGTCAAGATTTTATTTCACTGTTAGAGTCCTGTCCGGAAATTAATTCTTCAACGCGATACAGGAAAATGGGTGATCTTCTCGGTGAAAAACTCGAGTTTTTGGCAGTAGATGATGATAGACTACGCGAAGATATATTCAGTGAATATGTTTATGACTTAAGAAAGCAAGAAAAGGTAATATATATAGAAGAAAATTTAAATCAATAATTAACGAATTATACTAAAACTATATAGAAATTTTTTTTAGGAAGTCCAAAGAGCCATTCGTAAAGAGAATATGGAGAAATTTAGTAATCTTTTACGATCACTTCCAAGTATTACAGAATCAACACGATGGGTTGATGCCCAAAATGTATATATGAATACACCAGAATATGAACAAGACAAGACACTTCAGGAGATGGATATGTTAGATTTCTTAGCAGTTTATGAAGAACATATTCGATCATTAGAACGAGAGACTACCGAAAAGAAAAAACGGGATATTGATACGCAAACTAGACAACAACGTAAAAATAGGGATTCCTATCGAGCTTTAATGGAAGAGTTACGACAAAAAAATGTAGTCACAGCAAAATCTAAATGGAAAGAAATTTATCCTATTATTCATAACGACGAGCGTTATCAAAATATGTTGGGACAACCTGGATCCAATCCTTTGGAATTATTCTGGGATGTTGTCGAAGAACTTGATGAAATTTTATATCAGAAACGTAAAGTCGTGACAGAATTTATGAAGGTTATTTTTATTTTCTTTAATTATTTTCACTATATCAATTGATAAATATACATCTATATCTAATACATTTATTTATTAATATTTAATTTTTTTTAGACAAATGATTTGTCAATAACTCCGGGAATGACCTTTGAAGAATTCCAATCTCTGCTAAGTTCAGATGAACGTGTCGCGTCTGTGAATGAGATCAATTTAAAGATTATTTTTGAACAGGTGAGACGAATTATAATTATTACTTACCAATTTTAAAATAAATTAGATTAAAAATAATTGTTTTAAATAATGATTATTAAATAATTATATTAAACATAGCTTCAAAGGAAACAAGAAAGACGACAGCGTAGAAAACTAGATGCGTTCAGATCAATTCTTAGAAATTTCGAATCAATGATTTCACCTGAGACCACTTGGGAACGGGTTAGATATCCATTTAATTATTTTCAAAAAGATCGTTTATATATCGGCTATAAGTTAATTAATAATATATTTCATTGTCATTCAGATGCGCCCATTAGTTGAGAAAACTGAAGAATTTCATGCAATTGACTCTGAACAACTACGTAATGAAGTTTTTAACAAATTTATGGAACGCGTCAAAGTAAGTTCTTAGAAACATCACATATAAATAAATGAATATATATATATATATTGACATTAACGTACAATTTTTTTTTTTAGGAAAAGTTTCTCAGAAAAAGTGGGGAAGATAGTGAAGAAGAAGAGGGAACAATTAGAGATGAAGATTTTGAAGATGATAGACATACATCATCAGATCGTAAAAGAAAGCATAAAAGTCATCGATCATCATATCATCATAGACGACCGCATCATTATTCTGATTATTCAGCAGACAGTGCTGAATATTCTGATAGGGATAGGGAAAGTAATGATAGACGAAAGCGACGAAAGGTAAAATAGAATAAGGGATTTATATTTTTTAAATATTGTATTATTCAATATTTGTATATTTAAAATTATAGTGTTCAATATCTTTAGCCAAAAACCAAGTATGAAAGTAGATATGCAGATTCCAGACATCAAGAATATGATAAATTTACAGAACCGAAACGTGGTAGTGGTGTTGGTGGTGGTGTTGGTGGTGGAGGAGGAGAAATTTTAATACGATCATCGCGTTCACCTAGACCTCATGAAGATCATAAAATATCACCTACAAAAGAATATAAATCTCATTCACCCAAACTAGAAGAACACTTTATTAAACATAATTCACCACAACTTGAAACATCATCATCGTCATTTAAAAGTTTGCAAAGTACAAAACAATTAACGGAAATTAGCAAACATGCAGATTCAAGCGCGGAAGAAGGCGAGTATGTGGAGTAATAAAATAAATTACCGTATTTCATAAAACATTTACTTCACTATCGTCAGTGTTATATTTTAGCTGTGAGCAAATTCTTGAATTCAATGAAGAATGTGGCTTTGGGGAATTTGGATTCACGAAAATAAAAGGTGAGATCCAGAATAATAATAATGATGAACATGATAATTCAACGTGTGCAGTTTGTTGTTGATAAATAAAAGTGTTGTGAGATTTTTCCTGAATAAATGTCAGTAAATGTCACAGCATTCATTCATTCTCAAGTTTCGTCGGGTTTCACAAAATTCACAAAAATTCACAGTTGTTGATTTTGATTTTAAAAATAAATTATGCAGGTATGTGACTTTTTTAAAAAAAATAAAAAAATAAAATAAACCGTTTATGTCATGTCCTGTATGATGGAACAACAACTTTTAATCAACAATATAATATCAAAGAAATATCAAAGTGTGGATTTCTCAAAGTAAAATTTCCTTGTTGTCCATATAAAAATATATTATCTATTGTATTCTATTGTATCTTATATTGATAATTGTAAATCATTTTTTGGTAAGTAATAATATAATATATAATAATAACAATAATAACAGATTAACAAATGATTTTGATTTTGAATTTCCCAATAAAATTATTTACAATTTAAAGATTAGAAATCCATAAATATATTGTATTTTGCATTTTATAAAAATTATTTTGTGAAACATATTAGATAATGTAGCTGCTGTTAAGGTTCCTTTTTTAGGGTTTTTTATTTTCATATAAGAACAAAATGAATCAAATAAAATAAATGAATCAAATAAAACAAATGAATCAAATAAAACAAATGAATCAAATAAAAACAAATAAAACAAATGAATCAAATAAAAACAAATGCAATCAAATAAGAACAGATAGGAACAAATGAAACAAATGGACAAATAGACCACAGTGATTTGGAAGATGGAAAAGAAGAAAAGAAGGAAAGGAAAGAAAGTGATGCTTGTATTAAAGATAATTATATTATAATATTTTATTTCAACATTTAATGAGTAAAATAAATAATATAAAAGTCATTAATAAGAAATAATGTTTTAATGAATGTCTAAAATGAATGCAATATAATTCAACATGTAAATGTATTAATGAAATAATATACTGTATATTAAACTTTAAAAAAATATTCATACAAAAAATAAAATCAAAAAAAAAAATATAAATAATGACGAAAATAAAATAATAAAAAAAAAAATAATAATAAAATAAAAATAAAAATGATAATAATAAATAGACGATAAATGCATTAAATGGTGGTTTTTGAACCTTTTCCTTTCTTGATTAACCATTGTAAAGTAATATCAATATTTACTTGTTTCTTTGCAGAAATAGAATAACAAGAAACCTCGCGATTATTGATTGTTTTTAAATTCCTATTTATAAATATTAAAAAAATATTAAAGAAATATATAAAAATGGATTAGTAAGTTATCCGTGATTACTTTTTCTTTTTTTTTTTATTTCTATTTTTTAAGATAAATTAGATGAATTAAAATTCGAATTACACACATTTCTTCAATAATTTTTTCAACCGGCATAGCTCCTTCTAAATCATTTTTATTCCCCAAGACCAAAACTGGAATGTTTGCAAGTTGAGGTTTCTCTAAGAGACTACGCAATTCAGTTCTTGCCGCATCTAATTTCTCATAATCAGCAGAATCAAGTACAAATCTAATCGATTAAAAAAAATATATATTTAATTAGTTCATCATATTACGAAAATCCGTATTAAAAGTTTTATACTACTTACACAATGGCGTTTACTCCACGACAATAACGTTCCCACATACTTCGAAAACGTGGTTGTCCTCCTATATCCCATAATTTCATGGTAACATTTCCTTTAACAACTTTACGCATATTAAAACCCACAGTTGGTATCATGTCTTCGCTGAATTGACCAGACTAATATAAGTAAAGTAATTCTCAGAGATCAGTGACTTTCTCGATATACCCATTTTTAATTTTTTTTTTTTTTTTTATAAGATTTGCTTACTTACAGCAATGACATTCACCAACGTGGTCTTCCCACTATTTTGCAATCCAACCAATGTCAACTCAAGTTCAGTCTATTTTTTTTTTAAAAAATAAAATCTGTTGGTAACTTGATTATATATTATTTATAGCAACTTTTTGAACGTTCCAATAAAGAAATTCACTCCACCTTGAAAAATAAACTTCTTAACCAATCTAAAAGAGATTTTATAAGTGCTGCCATAGTTCAAAATTAGATAGAAATCTAAAATATTATGTGAAAAAAGAAAATATTTATGTCTGTTGGTAGTTTATGTTGTGTAATGTTAGAATTTTGCTATACCTACAAGATCGTCATTACGTATTATCATTATGATCGTAATCATATATAGTTGCAGCATGACAGAAGAAGTTCCTTTTGATTGGCAATCATGATAGATCATGTGAATAATTTTTATTAAATATGATTGGCCATAAGATTTATAAAAATTTAAAGTTTTTCCAAACGCGTTTTCAAAAAATGAAAATGAAAAACAATGGACCTTGTTCTATTAAAAATTGTACATATACTAATACCAAATTTCGTTTAATTACAAAGCTTGCATATGAGAAATGTTATGAAAAACAAATGCTTTAAATTTTCTCTTATCTTGAAGTTGAAAAACAACTTTGTCACCGCACTATTGTAACATAGTTGAAGTTGATAGAGGTCAACGAAGGAAAATAAAAAAGAAAAAAATACACAAAAAAGAAAAGCATTAGAACCAATAGAATTAATATCTAATAATACAAACACAGGTAGTATAATATTAAATAGAAAATTTTATTTAATAAATTAATATTTATTAATTTTTTAATTTAAATAAAAAAAGATTTATTTTCTTCAAATATCCATACTTTAACAAAAGTTTTATACCAACTACATCGCCGAGATTGTGTTAATTTAGAATTAGATCCAGCTAAATTCAAAAATATGATTGAAAGTGCCTGTCCTCAACTCAATGGGTTTTTTAATTATTTGGTGAACATAATTATTCCTAAGGAACATTCCACATATAACAAAAATGAAGTTAAAAAATCAATTGTTAGATTGTGTTACCTAATTGCTGGATTGCAAACCAAATTTGTCAATCAGCATAAATTAGAAGTGGACTTATATTTAATGGCATCAGGTGCAACATGGAAAGCAATTGATACAATTTCAAGTCTTGAATATTCAGCATGTGCAAAAACAATAGAAGAATATCAGAAGAAAATTCAAAAAAAACATATTATAAATATTGAAAATTATTTTATAAAAAATGTAAGTTGTTTAAATTAATTTTTATTTTTATTAATTTAGGATTATATAAAATTAAATTATTATTATATTTTTTCAAGAAAAATATTTTTTATATTTATAATATGGATAATTACCATTCAATTCATAAAAACTGTTAACCAAATATAGTTTCAACATCAACTGCAAAATATTTTGTCACCTGTGTTGCAAAACCTATTACCAATTGTTTTTCCTTATCACTTATGTTTAATGAAATATCTATCCATAATTTAGCAAATGTAGAAGTAGTAGTATGTTTATAAAAGAATTAGAACAGAAATCAGTACCTCAATCTGTATAGTATTTTACTTTTCTCACCATTGTCACACCAATATGTGGACAAGGGTCTGAAAGATAACTAATATTCTTTAACTAAACTAACTTAACCTATTCAAATAATTTTCAGAATTTCTCAAGGATCACTAAAATCAACTCAATTCAATTATTTAATAGTGAATTCAAATGAATATTACAAGGTGAGTTCTTTATTGTGCGGAATTTTAGCACATCAAATCAGCTTGTTCACTTAATAAGATGTATATACTAAAGAGTATTTATACAAGATTAACTCAGGTTTTATTAAGAATTACATAACAAATTAACAATTAAAGATTTAATGGGAATATTTAATATGATATAACTTTATTAATAAATATAATAATAAATATAAAGATAAAATATGATATAAAAATGGAAATTATAAAAGTAAAGGTAAATATTAAAGGATTAAATTATGTATTAGCTAAAAGAGACAACTCAATTCTAATCTCTTAAATTCTTGAAAACTATAGAACTTCTGAACTCCTTCTTTTCAGATCAGAAAAAACTCACATTTATATTTCTTTAATTTGCTGTACACAACGATCTATCAAATTAATGATTTATCAATTTTAGTATGAGATAATCAATCTAGTGATCTACCTGTTACACACAACAGGTAATTTACCTAGGTAATTTACCTGGTAATCAACCAGGTGAGTCACCTTATCAGTAATTATATTAATTTGAAAACCTTTGAAATTATATCGCGACATTAGATTTCGAAGGTTATTGATTGTGTTGCAACCTTTCGAAATCAAAATTTAACGGTTAAATTTCTATATGTATTATTTCATTATCAAAAACCTTCGAAGTTCAATACTAAATTTTTTAATAATAACGTAAACTTTCAAAATTCAACAGCTAGTATTTTAATGTATTTTGTTTCAGGTTTATTGTTTTCAGATTACTTCAAATTTAATCATTTTCATTGTAATTCAATATATATTGTAGAAAATTTCATTTCATAATATTTTATTACTTTCTGAATTTTTACATAATTTATT